TGTCTCGTTAGAATAAATATTGTCTCCAATACGTTTCCACAGATAGATCAGCAGTAGTTTCCTCTTAGCAGTATTTAAAGATGATAAAACAACAGGCAACATATACAATGACAATGATTTGCCACTTTTGGGGGGGTGGGGACCTTGGTGTGAGTTTTCACTGGCCTGCTCCATCTGGGCTTCTAGTGCATCCTTTTTTTCTGGTGGCCTCAACGGATAGTATTTGAGTCCATTTTATTCTCTGGTGGCTTCACACGAATCTAGTAATACCTTGGATGAATGATGATTCAGTCGCCACCTCTCTGCAGCTTCCCCCTGATGAAGTCCTGAAACGTGTCGGGTACTTTTGCCGCTTTTGGCTGCTTTATGCCATCCCCTCACTCTCCAGCCACTGCTTTTAAATTTTAATGGTTTTGGTCTTCACACGATGTAACATTTTTACATTTGTAATATTAAAACTCTGTTTTTACATTTATGTTGTATGTTGCCATCAAAGCAGCTTAACCCTGATGAAGTTCTGAAACGAGTTCCATGTACCTTTTTTGGGGAATATCTTTCTACATATAGATCAGCAGTAGTTTCCTCTTAGCAGTATTTAAAGATGATAAAACAACAGGCAACATATACAATGACAATGATTTGCCACTTGTGGGGCGGGGGGAACTTGGTGTGAGTTTTCAGTGGCCTGCTCCATCTGGGGCTTCTACTGCATCCTTTCTGGTGGCCTCAATGGATAGTATTTGAGTCCATTTTATTCTCTGGTGGCTTCACACAAATCTAGTAATATCTTGGACGAACGATGATTCAGTCGCCACCTCTCTGCAGCTTCCCCCTGATGAAGTCCTGAAACGTGTCGGGTACTTTTGCCGTTTCTGGCTGCTTTATGCCATCCCCTCACTCTCCAATGGAGGATATATGTCCTTATGTTCTGATCAACCTCTGTAATTTGTAAGATGTACTCAGCCACTGCTTTTAAATTTTAATGTTTTTGGTCTTCACACGATGTAACATTTTTACATTTGTAATATTAAAACTCTGTTTTTACATTTATGTTGTATGTTGCCATCAAAGCAGCTTACCCCTGATGAAGTCCTGAAACGAGTTCCATGTACCTTTTTTGGGGAATATCCATCTACATATCTTTAGACACATGAAACCAGTCTCGTTAGAATAAATATTGCCTCCAATACGTTTCCACAGATAGATCAGCAGTAGTTTCCTCTTAGCAGCATTTAAAGATGATAAAACAACAGGCAACATATACAAAGACAGCAGCCACAAGTCTTGTTATGTTCATCAGCTCATATCTTCTGTACTTTGTACCTTAAAACACAGAAAAATGTTTATTCGATACAAATACAATGCAGAACTGTCACTTATCAATTGTAACTGTCATTTTTTGTCAATAGTTTCCTCAATTTTAACTGTTTACCATCAGACAAAGATTTTATAAATTTGCAAGACTACAATGCGCTCTCCTCATTGAACCTGGAGAATTCCACGATCTTCTGTAGCGGGTGTGTTAGTTGTAGTGACAAAAAATATATAAAGGAATGCGCTAAGTACCAAATCACATGAAAATGCAGATAAATACATAAATAAAATAAAAAATATATTTATAAATGTCCGTAATTCATATATAAGTCCAAACACCAATATAAGTGATTAAAAAATCTCTTAAACAAGAAAAAACACTTGATTCCCCGAGCATTTCCAAAGTTATGAAGGCATGATGACCACTTGCAGTTAAGGCTGTTCCATGTGTGCTGATTTGGCTGATTGCAGTCTATTGCTCCTGGATACTCCAACAGATCATCGCTCCCAGAGCAATTGCTATTTTTGCTGATTTATAATTTGATCAGGAAATAGCTCTGCTGAGTTTACCCATTTCATTCGGTGGTGGATTTTGCTACACGGTGTTTTTTCTTGTTTAAGAGATTTTTTTTTAATCACTTATATTGGTGTTTGTACTTATATATGAATTACGGACATTTATAAATATATTTTTTATTTTATTTGTGTATTTATCTGCATTTTCATGTGGTTTGGTATTTAGCGCATTCCTTTATATATTTTTTGTCACTTACTTTTTTTGGTTAGGTTTGCAGCTTTATACAGTGGGGCAAAAAAGTATTTAGTCAGCCACCAATTGTGCAAGTTCTCCCACTTACAAAGATGAGAGAGACCTGTAATTGGCATCATAGGTAGACCTCAACTATGAGAGACAAAATGAGAAAATAAATCTAGACAATCACATTGGCTGATCTGGAAAGAATTTATATGCAAATTATGGTGGAAAATAAGTATTTGGTGAATATGAAAAGTTCATCTCAATACTTTGTTATATATCCTTTGTTGGCAATGACAGAGGTCAGACGTTTCCTGTAAGTCTTCACAAGGTTGGCACACACTGTTGCTGGTATGTTGGCCCATCCTCCATGCAGATCTCCTCTAGAGTAGTGATGTTTTGGGGCTGTCGCTGGGCAACACGGACTTTCAACTCCCTCCAAAGGTTTTCTATGGGGTTGAGATCTGGAGACTGGCTAGGCAACTCCAGGACCTTGAAATGCTTCTTACGAAGCCACTCCTTCGTTGCCCGGGCGGTATGTTTGGGATCATTGTCATGTTGGAAGACCCAGCCACGTTTCATCTTCAATGCCCTTGCTGATGGAAGGAGGTTTGCACTCAAAATCTCACGATACATGGCCCCATTCATTCTGTCCTGTACATGGATCAGTCGTCCTGGTCCCTTTGCGGAGAAACAGCCCAAAAGCATGATGTTGCCACCCCCATGCTTCACAGTAGGTATGGTGTTCTTTGGATGCAACTCAGCATTCTCTCTCCTCCAAACACGACGAGTTGTGTTTCTACCAAACAGTTCTATTTTGGTTTCATCTGACCATATGACATTCTCCCAATCCTCTTCTGGATCATCCAAATGCTCTCTAGCAAACTTCAGACGGGTCCGGACATGTACTGGCTTAAGCAGGGGGACACGTCTGGCACTGCAGGATCTGAGTCCCTGGCGGCGTAGTGTGTTACTGATGGTAGCCTTTGTTACGTTGGTCCCAGCTCTCTCTGCAGGTCGTTCACTAGGTCCCCCCATGTGGTCCTGGGATTTTTGCTCACCGTTCTTGTGATCATTTTGACCCCACGGGGTGAGATCTTGTGTGGAGCCCCAGATCGAGGGAGATTATCAGTGGTCTTGTATGTCTTCCATTTTCTAATTATTGCTCCCACAGTTGATTTGTTCACACCAAGCTGCTTGCCTATTGCAGATTCAGTCTTCCCAGCCTGGTGCAGGTCTACAATTTTGTTTCTGATGTCCTTCGACAGCTCTTTGGTCTTCACCATAGTGGAGTTTGGAGTGTGACTGTTTGAGGTTGTGGACAGGTGTCTTTTATACTGATAACAAGTTCAAACAGGTGCCATTGATACAGGTAATGAGTGCAGGACAGAGGAGCCTCTTAAAGAAGAAGGTCCAGGTCTGTGAGAGCCAGAAATCTTGCTTGTTTGTAGGTGACCAAATACTTATTTTCCACCATAATTTGCAAATATATTCTTTCCAAATCAGCCAATGTGATTGTCTGGATTTTTTTTCTCATTTTGTCTCTCATAGTTGAGGTCTACCTATGATGCCAATTACAGGCCTCTCTCATCTTTTTAAGTGGGAGAACTTGCACAATTAGTGGCTGACTAAATACTTTTTTGCCCCACTGTATATAATTTATTGGCGCTGTGTCTATATATTTTACATTGTTAGTTGTAGTGTCTGTTTTTTATTATTTCCCTAAAATATATGGTAAGCGCCTCCACTTTTCAATATATCGTCATGCTCAAATTTTTTTTGCCTGACGTGACGGAGTTGATTTATTAAAGGAATGGAGAATTTTCACTTAGCTAAGTGCAAGTTTCTATAATTTAGTGACTGAAGTAAAAGTGTGCTGACATTGAATACCTTTGCTTTGCACGCAACTGGATGGTTGAAGTGGTTCCTTGAGTAATGAGCAATTTTTGCCTGTTAGATGAGTAACCACTGAATTCCAATTAACTTTTTTTAGCTCTTTGTAAGAGGAAATTTCTTCTCATTGACCACAAATGTAAGGAATGTTCTTTCCAGTGATCCTCATACTAAAGTTATTGCAGAAAGTTACTTAAAGGCTTCCTATACAATTAAAAGGTTGAGAAAGGCTGCTCTAAAGGAACCAACCACTCTAAATCCGGGTCGGATGTTTCAGCATTCCCCTCCAGGGGCGGACTGACAACTCATGGAGCCCACGGGCAATAGGGGATCATGGGGCCCCTGTGTCCTTGCCCAAACTCAAAAAAGCCTATGAAAAAGGTACCAGGGGCATCTCATGGGGCCCCCTACTGACTGCAGGCCCTCGGGCAGTGCCTGAGTTTCCAAATGGTCAGTCCGCCCCTGTTCCCCTCCCCAATTTGATGGACTGCCCACCATCGATGGGCTTCAATACCAAGTACCTTGCATCTTACCTCTCCAACAAGCCATCAGCTGCACCCCACCGATCTCATTTCTAGCCACTCAATGGCCCTCCTATGTGCCTACTATGAGAGATGTAAAAAGGAATGACAATTCGGCAACAGGCCATTACCTTTTTAAACCACGCTACACCTTTTGGCATGTTGATGGAAAAAAAAACTTTCCTTAATGCAAAGATTAAAATGATTACAGGCGTGGCCTGTACATGACGTCATCACGCACGAGAGCTGTAGTTTGTAAGAATGCTCTAACGCTGAAAAACGTGGTAAAAAACTGCAAACTGGTGCTTTTGGACTTTTTTTTGACCGAAAAAAATTTTTTTTGGTAAAAAAAACACAAACGCGGAAAAAACGGGGGAAAACGCTAATGCATAAAGGCTAAAAAAAGTTGAATGTGACTTTACACAGCTAACGATACCAGTGTTATCAAAACGCCCCGTGTGCACGAGGACTCAATGTCTATACCAGTGTTTCTCAAAGTCAAGGCACCCTTTAAAATTATGGACACTCCCGAGGCACCCTCTAAAATTATGGACAGTCCTGAGGCACCCTCTAAAATTATGGACAGTCCTGAGGCACCCTTTAAAATTAAGGACAGTCCCGAAGCACCCTTTAAAATCATGGACATTTCCGAGGCACCCTCTAAAATTATGGACAGTCCCAAGGCACCCTTTAAAATTATGGACCGTCACGAGGCACCCTCTAAAATTAGGGACAGTCCCGAGGCACCCTTTAAAATTAGGGACAGTCTTGAGGCTCCCTCTAAAATTATGGACAGTTTCGAGGCACCCTCTAAAATTATGGACAGTCTCAAGGCACCCTTTAAAATTATGGACAGTCTCATGGCACCCTTTAAAATTTTGGACAGTCCCAAGGCACCCTTTAAAATTATGGACCGTCCCGAGGCACCCTCTAAAATTAGGGACAGTCCCGAGGCACCCTTTAAAATTAGGGACAGTCTTGAGGCACCCTCTAAAATTATGGACAGTTTCGAGGCACCCTCTAAAATTATGGACAGTCCCGAGGCACCCTTTAACCGCCTCCAGCCCGCCATATAAGGTAATGATGGGCACAAGGCAGTTCTCTTGTTCTGGGAGGACGTCATATGACGTCCTCCCACTCTGTGTGTGCGCGGCTCAGGGAGCGTGCAGCGCGGCGATCGGCGGTGCGCTGTGTCCCTCAGACGCAGCGGATCACCGATCAACAGAAAGAGCCAAAGATGTCGGCTCGGTCATGTGATCAGCTGTGTCCAATCACAGCTAATCACATGTAAATAGGGAAATTCCGGTTATCGGCATTTCTTTCCTCACGAGCTGTCACGCTGACAGAGGAGAGGAGAGGAGAGCCGGTAATTGGCATTCCTCAGAGGGGACATGCACAGTGTGCTCTGATGATCAGTGTAGCCCCAGCAGTGCCACCTGTCAGTGTCCATCAATGCCACCTGCCAGTGCCCATCAGTGCCACATCAATGCCACACATCAGTGCCTACCAGTGCACATCAATGCCACATATCAGTGCCCATCTGAGCTGCCTTTTAGTGTCATCTATTAGTGCTGCCAATCAGTGCCCCCCCTATCAATGCCAGCCAGTGCCACCTATCAGTGCTCCCAATCAGTGCCACCTATCAATGCCAGCCAGTGCCACCTATCAGTGCTCCCAATCAGTGCCACCTATCAATGCCAGCCAGTGCCACCTATCCATGCTGGCAATCAGTGCCACCTATCAGTGCCATCTATAAGTGTGCATCAGTGCTGCCTATCAGTGCCAGACAGTGCCACCTAACAGTGCCATATATGAGTGCTGCATTTCAGTGCCCGTCAGTGATGTCTGTCAGTGCCCATCAGTGCAGCCTAGCAGCAGTGCCCATCAGTGTAGCCTAGCAGTGGCAATCACTGCAGCCTCATTAGCGCACATCATTGAAGGAGACAAATCACTTATTTACAGAATTTTGTAACAAAAACTAAGAAAAAAACGTTTTTTTTTTTTTTTTTTTATTTTCAGTTGTTTTTGGTTTGTTAAGCAAAAAAATAAAAAAACCCCAGAGGTGATTAAATACCACCAAAATAAAGCTCTATCTGTCTAAACAAAAAAGATAAAAATGTCATATGGGTACAATGTTGCATGACCGCGCAATTGTAATTCAAAGTGGGAGAGCGCTGAAAGCTGAATATTGTCCTGGACAGGAATGGGGTATAAGTGGCCTGTAGGTGAGGGGTTAAAATTTAGGACAGTCCCGAGACACCCCATTCTAAAGTGAAAACAACTATTCTAATAGTTTTATATAACACAGCAACATCCAGGGGCGGACTGACCATTTGGAAACTCGGCCACTGCCCGAGGGCCCGGGGTCAGTAGGGGGCCCCATGAGATGCCCCTGGTACCTTTTTCATAGGCTTTTTTAGTTTGGGCAAGGACACAGGGGCCCCATGATCCCCTATTGTCTGGGGGCCCCATGAGTTGTCAGTCCGCCCCTGACAACATCCACACATGTAGGACACCCAACATTAGAGGGGATTTATTCTTCCAATGTAAATACACTTCTGCACACTGGTACTGACTAGTATTCCTATGTTTCTCCTCTCCCTCAGGTTTTTCTCCATCACTGAGCTAGTGTGACCCCAGCACTGATGGAGAGGGGCAGGGGAGGGTCAAACTAGGATTCTGTTCAAGCAGCTGACATCCTCCTTATCAACTGATGATGTCATTGGTTGTCAGGACGCCAGCGGCTAGAAGGTTGTAACGGTGCACAATGATAACCTGTGACTTTGTGTAACTAAAAGGCAGGCTTGTTCCACCCGCTGGGTTGTATACAGGTTTTTGCCAGTTTTAAAACATTTTGCCAAGGCACCCCTGAAGAAGCCTCAAGGCACCCCTGAAGAAGCCTCAAGGCCCCCTGAAGAAGCCTCAAGGCACCCCCTGAAGAAACCTCAAGGCACCCCTGAAGAAGCCTCAAGGCACCCCTGAAGAAACCTCAAGGCACCCCTGAAGAAACCTCAAGGCACCCGTGAAGAAACCTCAAGGCTCCCCAGGGCGCTTGGGCACCCTGGTTGAGAAAGGCTGCTCTATACCCCTCCAAGCTTGCGAGGACCAGTGTCTTTTGGATGATCATTTTAAACGGGTTGTATGGGAATGCGAAACCTGCTTGAAGCAAGTTAAATGCGGGTCAACTGCAGGTCAAATACAAACCTCCAAAGCAAAGTTGGGTTCCAAGCGCTCGCTGCTCAGTCGTCAGCTTTATTCTCCAGAAGCCATCGAACAGCATAATGACGAGTGATGGGCAGAACACCGCCCGGTTCAGTGCGCAGTCGAACATTCGAACCTAATGAAAGTTCGCCCCATGAACTTCAAACAGGGACATTTCACTATGCGGTATTTAATGTTTCCCCACTGACAGCTGAATGTAAAAAGAATTGCCGGCAATTAAAATGAAAAAAAAAAAACGGCATGGGCCCGCCCCCCCATCTGTACCAAGCCCTTTGGGTCTGGAATGGATTTTAAAGGGGAACCCCTACGCCAAACTAAAAAAAAAAATGGCGAGGGGGTCCCACCTCAAAATCCATACCAGACCCTTATCTGAGCATAAAGCCCAGCAGGTCAGGAAAGGGGGGGGGATGAGCAAAAGCCCCCCCAACCTCCTGAACCATACCAGGCCACATGCAGGGGGGCCCCCCCAAAGCACCTCGTCTACATGTTGATGGGGACAAGGGCCTCTTCCCCACCACTGTGGCTGAGGTTCTGGGGCCAGGGGGCTTATTGGAATCTGGAAGCCCCCTTTAACAAAGGAGTAACCCCCCCCAAGTGAATGAATATGGGGTACAGGGTACCGCTATTCATTCACTAAAGAAAAAAAACAGCGACAGAAGTCTTTGACAAGTTCTTTATTCAAAACAAAAATTAAGAAATGTTCCCTGAAGTAGATCCAACGTCAACCACGATGCCCACCGCCACCACCGACCCGAAAAACAACAAAAAAAAACCCCAAAACAAACGCTCCGCTCTTGGTGCTGGCTCCCGCTGTCTGACTTCTTAAATACTGTGATGATGTCACAAGGGGGCGGGGTCACCCTGTTGACATCACCTGGTGACCCTGCCATTTTGTGATGTCATAATGCACTGTGGTCAGGTGCATTACTTTGGCCAATCACAATGAATTGTCAGGACGCATTGACACAAGCCCATTGACACCAAGTCCATTGACACAAAGTCCATTGACACCAAGCCCATTGACACCAAGCCCATTGAGACAAAGTCCATTGACACAAAGCCCATTGACACCAAGCCCATTGACACAAGCCCATTGACACAAGCCCATTGAGACAAAGTCCATTGACACAAAACCCATTGACACAAAGCCCATTGACACCAAGCCCATTGACACCAGCCCATTGACACCAGCCCATTGAGACAAAGTCCATTGAGACAAAGTCCATTGACACAAAGCCCATTGACACAGAGCCCATTGACACAAGCCCATTGACACCAAGCCCATTGACACAAAGCCCATTGACAGGAGCCCATTGACACCACGCCCATTGACACCAAGCCCATTGAGACAAAGCCCATTGACACAAAGCCCATTGAGACAAAGCCCATTGAGATAAAGTCCATTGACACAAGCCCATTGACACCAAGCCCATTGACAGGAGCCCATTGACACAAAGCCCATTGACATAAGCCCATTGAGACAAAACCCATTGAGATGAAGTCCATTGACACAAAGCCCATTGACACATAGCCCATTGACACAAACCCACTGACACGAGCCCATTGACTCAAGTCCATTGAGACAAAGCCCATTGACACCAAGCCCATTGAGACAAAGCCCATTGAGACAAAGCCCATTGAGACAAAGTTCATTGAGACAAAGCCCATGGACACAAAGTCCATTGACACAAAGCCCATTGACAGGAGCCCATTGACACCACGCCCATTGACACCAAGCCCATTGAGACAAAGCCCATTGACACAAAGCCCATTGAGACAAAGCCCATTGAGATAAAGTCCATTGACACAAGCCCATTGACACCAAGCCCATTGACAGGAGCCCATTGACACAAAGCCCATTGACATAAGCCCATTGAGACAAAACCCATTGAGATGAAGTCCATTGACACAAAGCCCATTGACACAAAGCCCATTGACACAAACCCACTGACACGAGCCCATTGACTCAAGTCCATTGAGACAAAGCCCATTGACACCAAGCCCATTGAGACAAAGCCCATTGAGACAAAGCCCATTGAGACAAAGTTCATTGAGACAAAGCCCATGGACACAAAGTCCATTGACACAAAGCCCATTGACAGGAGCCCATTGACTCAAGCCCATTGACACCAAGCCCATTGACACAAAGCCCATTGACAGGAGCCCATTGACTCAAGCCATTGACACCAAGCCCATTGAGACAAAGCCCATTGACACAAAGCCCATTGAGACAAAGCCCATTGACACAAGGCCATTGACACGAGCCCATTGACTCAAGCCCATTGACACAAAGCCCATTGACACAAAGCCCATTGACACAAGCCCATTGACACCAAGCCCATTGAGACAAAGCCCATTGAGACAAAGCCCATTGAGACAAAGTCCATTGACACAAGCCCATTGACACCAAGCCCATTGACAGGAACTCATTGACACAAAGCCCATTGACACAAGACCATTGACACCAAGCCCATTGACAAGAGCTCATTGACACAAAGCCCACTGACACAAGGCCCAAAGTCTTTCCCATTTTATTCAAAATTAAAAGAAATGTTTAGGCTGGAAACACATTATAATTTATTTAAAACTTTGAAAGAACTCAACAACTACGAACAGAAACCTGTCTGGAATGATTACCTTCAACCTGGATATTTATCTCTTCACTGCTCTTCTGTACACTGTTGGCCAATGTCCTCACTTCACAGGAATAATTCCCAGAATCCTCCAGCTGGGCTGAATGAACT